AATATGCCCAATGTGAAGTCTTGGAGAAAAACGTGATAATAATTTAGAAGACATATTGGTGGATGGTGCTCAATGCTTTGTTGTTATTGTTTATTAAGCTGATAAGTATTTAGCATTTCTGACCAGGATGCTCTTAAAAGTAATTTTTTTTTAGAATTATGTCATAACTATTACAAAATTATCTCACATTCCTGTACTGAATCTGAAGGGGAAAATTTAATACATACTGTAAGTGAAAATATCATATTTAAGTCAGTAAATGAATCACAATGTGTGAGGCTGCACACAAACTCTTCTCATAAGACCTTCATAGCTAATGTTTTATGTATCAATAGAATTCAAATTCTAATTTCTCTGAAATGTCACATTTAAGACTATGGTGCATTTTTATCCTTATATATTACAAAATGAAGAAATACACAAACAACTAGTTGAAGTAACTTTCTTGAATATTTTTTTTACTTGTTCACAATCAGATAAAATCTTTAAATCAAAAATCAGCAATTGGAAAAATTACCAGAAAATGGAAAGGAATGGCAACAGAAGCTGTATCAGATGCCAGCAACTTCATAATCCAATTCCCAATGGATCTTGAGGTTAAAACGAAAACCCTTGTGCTTGGAGCTTGCTTCCTACTGGTAAATCTCTTGGTAGTCTTGTTGTAAATTAAGATTGAAAAAGTCTTGCTTCCTAACAAGGAATGATCTGGAGTTCATCTAAATCATGTTTGTTTTATTTCAATAGGATTTCTTGTTTTTTGAACAATCTGGACCAAGGCCCCGCGATCAGAGATAACCAGATGTATACCATTTTTCCTGACTTCAGAAAAAATTCAATACTACTGCTTTTGTTTCTTATCTAGCGGTTAATCCAGTGGTGAGATTCAAAAATTTTCACTACAAGTTTGGTGGGCATGGCTAGGTGGGTGCCATGTGACTGAGTGGGTGTGACTAACATGACATCACTCATGCCCATTCCCACTAAGTCACATGCCCCCTCACCTAGCCACACCCACAGGAAAAGGTAGGGACCTTTTTTGGATTTTTAGGTATCTACCCTGGCCCTCTCTTCACTAGTTACCCCATTTCCCCATTTCCTCCCCCCCCACCTCTTTGGTTGCTTACCATTCAGGGTGGCTGGTCCAGTCCAGAAGGCAAGCTGACTGGATTTTTTGGCACCCCCCCCCCCCCCCCCAGCCAGCCACCGCTGCTGGGAAGTGGCTGGCTGGCAAAGAAGCCTCCCACCTGCCGCCTCTTTGCATACTGGCAGACTTGCAAGGCAATGGGATACGCATGCACGAAGAAGATGGTGGCAATAGGATCTGCTTTTTCGCTGACTGGTGGATTTTTCAGCGGCCTGTGACCAGCTGCCGGCCTCTTTGAGAGCCAGTATGCAAAGAAGCAACACAAGCGAGTGATGAGCGGATGGGCAAGGTGAGCAACTGGCAACAGGGGGATTGGTTCGGGGGCATGGCTAGCCAGCCATTGCTACCAGTTCGCTGAACTGGGCATAATTTCTGCCACCAATTTGGGCAAACTGGTGCGAACTGGCTGAATACCACCTCCGGGTTAATCTATCACTTGCTTATATACAGTACCCTCATATTATGCAAGCAAACAGATTGTGGACTCTTATGACACAAGAAGTGTTACTCTACAATGGTGTTTCACAGCCCTGGCAACTTTAAAATATACGGATTTCAACTCCCAGAATTTTCCAGCCATATTACCTGAAGAATTCTATGAGTTGAAATCCATGCACCTTAAAGTTGCTAAGCTGAGAAACACTGCTTTAGAATATATAATATATTATCAAGACTCTTTTACAACTGCTCATAGTACTTCTAGAGGAACTCTAATGATATTTCCAGATGAAACATCATACAACTAACTAGAAACTATAGAAAGAACAATTTCCTTTTCTTTGGTGCCTTGATGGATATCAACATTTTAGAGTGGGAGATGGAAAGTGGGGAGGGAGGGATGGAGAGGATTATATTTTATAGCTGTCAAAAATAATGTAAGTGTAAACAATTCATTTTGGTTAAGTATAATTCAAATAAAAAGCTGAATAATAATAATTCCACTGTAATATATATTGGCTTTCAAATACTTGTAAGATTCAATAAAACATTTCAGCACTTTTCTTTATTCACTACATGGGTGAATAAAAATAAACTGATTTAATGTATTTTTATCCTGTTCTTTGTGTTTGCATTGACTAACTCAATGTATCTAATAGCAAGTACAAAAGTTCAAGATTAAAACAAATTTTGAAAGCTGTAGTTAAAAGCTGTATGAAGCATATTGGCAGTTCTTCTAAAGGCACTCATAATTGTGCCTGATGGGTCTCGTAGATGGGCCTCTGAAAGCAATGGGAAGGGCCTCTCCCATCACCATCCTGCACAGATTAACTCTGTAGCCAAGACCCTCATCTCCAGAACCAAACGCATAGCTGACAAAGACTACCTGAAAACGGAATTACACACTCTCACAAACGTATAAATCTCCAAGGGATTCCAAAAAAAAAAAAA